TCACTTGCTTTTTTTTAGGTATTTTTTACTCTCGATTATTTTATTTATTTATTTAATTGTCTTTCAGTTCAGTGCGTCACTGTCGAAGACTCTGGGGGTTTCGGTGCGATTCTTTGCGGATATTCGTGGTTCCAAAATGAAATGTAATATACGGCCAGAATAAAAGCCGGTAAGGATACCGAAAAGATGTAGGCAATCACGGTAGCCAGTCGGGTCATCGTCCGTTTCGTTTTGGCCGAAATCCTCTCCTCGAATTTAAGGGTCACCACCGTATCTGTAAAGTGATGCGATCCGCCTGACGAGTCGTGACCCGTCTGCTTCTCCATACGGAGAACTTTAGGCTGTCTGCGTGAGTCGTCTTCGTTGTAGTCCTTAGCGAGAAGTAGACCCGTAAATAGTGGACAACAAATGACAGCAAGTAGGAAGTAGGCGGACACGCATGCAAGCGCGTAAACGTAGGAACTGATACCCTCCGTTTCAAGGCAAGATGCGGAAACTGTACACACGATGTAGAGAAATAAATAGGGGAGGAGGAAATGATAGATAGATAGATAGATAGATAGATAGATAGAATCACAGTGACTGTGTAAGTTAAATGAGATAAAAGAAATGAAAAAAATTACGATAAAAAATCCGGACGGTGAAGGAAAAATCTGATAAAAATAAAGATTTTAAAAACTGAAAATCTTAAGGAAGCGTACTAGTCAGTGTAATTCAAGTCCACGCTGAGCGAATGAAGACACAGTTGATCCAATATAAACAAAAGGCGGCGCCAGCCTCCACCGAGGCTTACTGCAGGAACACGCTGGTGGATCTGACGAGAAGAGCAAGCAGCGTGGTTTGACGGAGCGAGTGAGAGCGCGCTAGCGGTTACGGAGAATTTGAGCGGGAAGAAAGCGCTCAGCGTCGGCAGAGGAGCGGCAAGAGACAAAAAATCGAAGGAGGAGGAGGTGGAAGAAGAAGAAAAAGAGAAAGTGAAAGCAGTCAGGTAGAAGCAACTAAACCAAGGAGATGGTTTGAAAAACGTTAAGAAATGTTAACCAAAAACAGGTAACAAGGGAAAATTAACTCGCACTACACAGCGAAGTAATTACAATCTTCTTTGCAAATAAGTGACAGTTGGAATCGGGTGCCTCATCATGGTTTAATGATCAGCAAGTTGGATTCTTATATCATACGTATTGAGTTCGATCCTCACTAGAAGCCCCATACTTCCGCTAAATGACATTAAAAGTAATTATTTAAGCCTCAGAGTGTCTGCTTGCTGGCTAACATAGTTGCGTAAGTTCCACCAAAGCGAGAGATGAGTTCAGACTTTGTTAAAAGTCAAAATTACAAATGCTGATTTTAGAAGTCGGTAAAACCTACTCATTTTGGAAATTGAACACTATCTCTTCCCGCTTGACCTTATGCCAGACTAAACAATACTTTATTTAGTTAACAAGCTCACCGTGCAAATTAATTTGCTTATTTGCCAGTTCGATCTTCAGTGGGTGCGTTTCATAAATAAACATATAATAATATATTTGTGTGTGTGTGTGTGTGTGTGTGTTGTTTTTTTGTTTTTTTTGGGGGGGGGATATTTTTTTCTACTAATCGCAAGGATCAGGGTTTGAGCCAAGAAATAGTCTTAAAAAGCTTATTTTCAAGATAGGTAATCTCTTCCGACTTGGCGTAATACAATCTTCCTCTCACACCTTTGCTTATTAATGTGTAGGAAAATAAATATAAAACTGGGTCGGCTCAGTCGGATCATAACGAAGATTATAAAAGCTTCTAGAAAAAAAAAAGAAGAGCAGTGACGTAATGAGGCTTAAATTTTATATACTGACTTAGCTTTCCGTCTGAATTTCTGGCATTAAGAGTTGGTATTATTTACATAATTTAACATCGTCTGCATCTTTGTTGCTATTATCACTACGTTTCGACTATTGTGCCCTCCGACCTTTTTTCAGGTATCTGTCAATCAGGGTAACCTTCAGGGAAGTGAATTCTTTATTTAATCTACGGACGTACATTATTCTCGCTCCGTTGTCCATGTCTATGGATATCTCGTCTTGTTTATTTTACTACTGCTCAGTTCTTGCTCGCTCTTTCTCAGCGGAGTCTGGAAGAAGATAAGATTACCTTACACAAATTGTCCAAAAAAAGGGGGCTGGTTTTGAAAATCATGCATTGAAACCCTTACTTTTATCTCTATTAATGATGGCATCAACATCAAAGATAGAGATTGACGAATCTTAACCTTCAATGCCTAATATTAAATCCAGTATTAATTATAAAAATTAAAAGAAAAACCCAGTATTAATTATAGGTTTATGAAAATTCCAGTATTAATTATAGGTTTATAACATTGAGGTGTTAATTTTAAAAATTAAAATCGGTATTAATTATAGGTTTATGAAAAATCTCAGTATTAATTATAAGATTATAACACTGCGGCATTAATTTTAAATATAAAAATCCAGTATTAATTATAGGATTATGAAAAAAAACAGTATTGTCTATAAGTTAATGAAAAATCCCAGGGTTTATTATAGGTTTATAACATTGCGGTATTAATTTTTAAAATTAAAATAAAAATCCGGTATTAATTATAGATTCATGAAAAAATCCACAATAAATTATAGGTTTATGAAACCACACAATATTAATAATAGGTTTATGAAAAAACAGTATTAATTACAGGTTTATGAAAAAAAAGCAGTAATAATCCTAAGTTTATGAAAAAAATATTAATTATAGGTCCGTGAAAAAAAAATCCTGTATTAATTATAGGTTTATGAAAACATCCAATATCGTTTATAGATTTATGAAACATCCCATGATTAATTATAAGTTTATGAAAAATCCAGTATTAATTATAGATCTATAACGTCGTGGTATTAATTTTAAAAATAAAAATCCACTATTAATTATAGGTTTATGAGAAAACTGTATTAATTACAGGTTTATGAAAAAAAACAGTATTAATTCTAAGTTTATAAAAAAACGGTATTAATTATAGTTTTCTTTTAAAAAATTCCTGTATTAATTATAGGTTTATGAAAAAATCCAATATGGTTTATAGGTTTATGAAAAATCTAATATTAATTATAGGTTTATAACATTATTAATTTTAAGAATTAAAATAAAAAATCTTGTCTTAATTCTAGGTTTATAAAAATCCGTTATCAATTATAGATTATAAAATAAATCCGGTATTAATCATAGGTATATAGAAGCCGATAATTAATGTTGTTTTTTTTTTCTTTTTTAACCCATTCCTTTAAGTAGAAAAAACTTGTTGTCATTGGAAATTTTGCTCTTCGTCTGTGCTCAAACACCGACGACTGGCACTCATAGCAAACACACAACATCAGCTACCAATGAAGACCAATTGAGTTTGAATTGTATTTCTTTTCTAATCGAACCTAAATAATGTCTAATTAATCAGAAAGCAAAAAATCGTTGGCACTAAATCTTTAAATGATGACTGAGTGAATTATTTATCAAGGGAATTATAAGAAACTCGAGATTACAGAAAAAGTTATTTTTTCCTTTAAAAAGAAAACATTTGTGCCCATTTGGTTGGTAACATGGCTCCTTTGGCAAAAAAGTCCTCACTTGTCTTCCCTTTAAAAACCACTGAAATGGCAATTCCATATTTTCGGGTCTTGAATAAAATGGGAAGGACGTTGGATTTTTTTTTTATCTTTTTTCAAAAAATGCTGGACAATCTCATCACAGATGAAGAAGAGACTTGAAGTAACAGAAATAGGATGCTGAGAATGCCATGGATCGAACATGTGAGCAACGGCAAAGTTTTAGAAGAAATGGAACCAAAAAGGATACTGATACTTAACATCAGAAAGAGACAGTGGAAATTTCCAGGGAACATAATGAAGAAAGAGAGTTTGGAAAATATGATACTCACAGGGACAGAGGAAAACAACGCATGACTTAGTAAGGTTGAGTAAAAGGATAGTTGAACAAGGTTTAGAAGAGATAACAAAAAACAAAATTTATTAAGAGCTAGAAAGGACAGAAAGTAGTGGAGAGCCACGATCACCAACACCCGGAAGGGACACCGCATATAGAAGAATAATAATAAGCGAGGTGGAGAAATCTGAGGAATTAGAAGCTAGCATAGAAAGTTTCCAGAAAATAAATAAGCGAGGTGTTAAAATAAAAGTGTGAGTGTGGCTCAGGAATAGAATCAAGTGGGGTAGGATTAGAATTTTTTTTTTCAAGATTAATAAGCAGCGGATACGATTATTACAAACTGAAGAGTATAAAACATATATTTTCTTTTTGTGCCCCATACCAACTACAGTCAGTTTAGTTGTGTAACTCCTTTCATCTTTGGCTCGCCTCCTGGCTGCGCTAGTCGCATGCTTCCAACTTGTACCAGCGTTCGAAACCAGGTAAAAGCAACAACGTCGAATGCTGATTTTCAGGACAGGTAGGCCCTTCCTAATAGGAAGGTTATCACAGCTTAATCTTTTCTATCTCCATTTCCCTCTTTACAAACATTAATCAGTCATTGGTCTCTTTTAGATATTTACTGGCGCAGAGACACTGCCTAGTCTGACACAGGGACACAGTTATGTGGTTCTAGTGATAACTGAAATCACTAGAGTAGCCAACTTGCTAACCGTCACTGTTTTCTATTCTAATTACCGATTTATTTGAAATTTAATTAGTATTTTATTTTACTTAAAAGAAGAACAAAAAACTATATCGTTCTGCTTATTCCTTTGTTAGTTAGTAAGCACGTGAGTTACGCCCTACCACTAACACAGATAAATAACAAACCATTTCGTTTTGATAGCGAAGAAAGACGTAAGAAAAAGATATATCAGAGACGCTGTTTGGTTTTATTGGGAAAAAGAAGGCATACATAATAATAATAATGAGAAGAAGAAGAAGAAGAAGAATGAAAGATACAGAAGGCAATAACGCTCTCATATTTTTTTAAAGTCACCTTCAGCGAAAGAGAAAACATTTTCAGTTTTGAATATTTTCATTTGTACCCTCTTACTTCTTTAAATAATGACCTGAATTCATACTTATGAATATTATTGCAATATTTTGTTAAAGTTAAGCTCATATATTCAACGATGCAATAGCGGAATTTTCAAAGGCACTTTATAGTCGCCGAGCTCGTAAGGAGCTTATTCAATCATTAAGTTAAGTATTAGGATTCATCAGAAAATTCAAATAAGAAAACCGTGTAGCTTTTCTCAGTATTGCTATTATTTATTAATTTTACTAGTCGATAGAATTTCCTCAAGTTAAAAGAATTCTAACCATTTAAAACAATTAAGACGACTTCGAAATGTGATTACTTTTCCAAAACAATGTTTCCTTCATTTCAATTTCGATTCAAGAAACCGACACTTACAGTCTAGTTTGTTTAGAAAAGAGACACTTAGACCAGTGACGTGCAGAGGTTGGGTAGTGTTTAGTGCTGCCCGGGGGTCCAACTTCTTGATTGTATGTTCCTAAGACTCAAATAGTATGGGGCTAGTACTGCGAAATGTGAGAAAGGAAGACATTTTAAATATGTAAAAACAGATGAAACAAAATTTTTATTCAAATTAAATATAAACTAATTTTTTATTTCACTTTTTGATTGGCTGTCTTCTCGATATGGATGCCCGGGAGTGAGGGAGGGGGCGTCGCACTCTCTGCCCTCCCTTCTACAACGCTACTGACTTAGACTTAGTATCAAAAAGGGACAATTGAAAGTTCTTGGATACATAACGAAGAAAAAGAGCTCGTAGAAATTTGACACTCACGAGACAAAATGAAGTCAAGGAGTAAAAAGTGATTAATCTACTTAACAAACTTGCGCAAATGAGGAGCTGGGGGGGCACAGGGAAAAAAAGGCAAAAAAAAAATCAAACATTGCTTAGAGCTCCAAAGTATAGGAAATTGTTGAAAGGTCATGATCGCCCACGTCCTGAAAAGACACAGTGCATAAAAGAAGTCCCTGTTTTAAACTCCGTTTATAGATAACGGGTAGTCTATACCAGTGTTTCACGTTAACTCTCACCTATATTCCAGCTCATTTCCTGTCATTAAATCCTCTGCAGGCAGTAGGCACGTCTTCAGTATTCAGCGAAGCACCTTTCGTTTCTGCTACTATCTGTTTATGTTTGTGATGCAGGTGCTACTGTACCAGTGATCGAATCTGTCGAACGGGATGCCGTTGTCGCGTTGGAAGGGCACGATGGTCTGACAAGAATTCTTGGAGAAGCAGAGAAGAAAAAAACACGAGACGAAAACAATAGCAAAAACGTCAGTCTCAAATATGAATTAAAACAACTTTTACGATAAATAATTCTAACTAGATTCTGCCACAACCAATCTAGTTACGACTATCTTTACAAAAGCAAATATTATTACTGCTATTATAACTGATACAGTGATTACTGATACTACTATTACTGCTAATAATAATAATAACAATTTTATTGTCATGAAACTAGAGAACGTAAGTTGCAAGTAAATACTAATATTATTGAAAACGTATTATTACTATGGGTGCTGAAAAGTTCTCGGCCCAATTCACTTCCCAAAATCTGATCAAAATATTTGATTTATTGTATATTGATAAGTTATTTTTGAGGGGAGGGAGTTAAGATTGTTGGCCAGGCTGAGAACATTTCAGCAACTTTTATACTTTGCTCTTTTTTTCTGCTATGCATCTTCTTTTACTATGTGCCATGTCCCTTCAAGATGTTGGCGATCATGGTTCTCCACAACTTCCACCCTTTCTACGCAAAAACAAATGAACAATTATATTAAGTCGCCTCGCTGTAGAGCAATGGTTAGCAAGATAGTCGCACTGACTATAATTGCTGTAATGGTTCATATTATCCGTTTCCTTATAAGGAAACATTTGGCATCCATTGAACGAGGGCTGCTGTCTTTGGAAATTTATAAAATCATTCATTTAAGACAGTTCTTCAGGAAAACAGGTTTCTAGATAGATAAGCTGTTATCGCTATTGCCAGTATTGACGAAGGTTTCCTTCCTAACTTTGAAGTAGTGTGGAATGTCAGCATCTTGATTATTCTCTCTTCGAGTTACATGTGCTATCCATTTTAGTTGTTGCTGCTGTTGGTAGTCCTCAAGTGATGTGATTTCGGTTGTTTGGTACAGTTCTTTGTTTGTGATTCTGTAGCCCCAGTCCATGATGTTCGAAAAAGCATGGTATCTGCTAAGACCTACATACGTCACTCTCTCGAAACCATCCCTAGAAGCCATCTTCGCGACCCATACATGCGGCCTTTTGCCAGACTAAGGTTAGCTTTTAAATGTCTACATTAACAGTAGCTGTGGAAGTAAAATATAGCGAGGATAAGTTATTCACAGAATATCATTTTTGCGTATAGCACTGCATGCAGGAAAATTTCCACACAGATGAACAGAAGACGTGAGTCAACAGAATTGTGGTTCTACAGAAGGATGTTGAGAATGCAATAGCCTGGACATGGGAGCAAAGGGGAAAGTTTGAAAGGAAATGGAAACAAAAAGGACACTTATACGTAGAAATAGTTGAAATTTCTAGGACACTTAATGAGGAAAGAGGGCTCGGTAAATTTGGCATTCACAGGACATATTGAAGCAAGAATGTCAGGGGGAAAACTGCGATCAACCTATCTAACGAGGTTGTGTAAATGGATTGCAGAACAGGGAGGGACATTAAGGGCACAAACAATACTTCGAGCTTGAAAAGATAGGAATTTGTGTATCATGAAGACCCATAATCACCCACGACTTAAAGGGACACGACACATAAAGGTCTTTCTAATTTCTATTTTCTTGAGAGCTTACTCGATGTTCGTTGTGTTCTGTCCAGGATATACTTAACATCTGTCTGTAAAATCATATCTCTGTCGCTTCCAGTGTCTTCTTTATCTATAAAGACATTTTCCAACATACGCGACAATAGATATGATATAAGTTTTTGGGGTTTTTTTTTTCCTTTGTTTCTATTGAAATATTCTTGGATGGCAAAACAGACTGGGAAGAATAGTCAAAAGACAAACGCAACGCATAAAGGAAGGAGAATGCAACGAAGTGCGAATGAAAATATTTGAAATTCTTTGTAAAACTTTACTCAGGGAAATAAATACGGGGATATTTTTAAGAGCAAAAGACAGAGATCAAAATGTACTAACACCTACCTTGAGGAATAGATTTCTTCTTTTATCATTCTGACCAAATATCTAGACATTTTGGGTTTCATGGTTGAGCCGAGAACTTTTCAGGGCTCATCATAGATAGATAGATAGATAGATAGATAGATCTTATTATAAAACGCACTTTGTGTGCGTCTGTGTCTGTACGTTTATATATTGGATCGGATTTCCTACATTTTTCAACCGATTTCAACAAAACTTCACAGGACTACGTAAAATTACCTGACGGTGGTTCTGACAGCGCCAAAAATTTAAAAATACATTTGTTTTTGCATGAAATCAATTTGAAAACACGATTAAGAGGCATTAATGGAAGGGGAACAACTCATATCGTTATACTTACTATAAAACCCAGGTTGTGTGTGTGTGTGTGTTCGTTTATATATGGGATCGGATTTCCTACATTTTTCAACCAATTTCAACAAAAATTCACTTTTTCTTTTGGCAGGTAGTGTTTCTTATTGGCTTGCACACTTTTTTTCTTTATTTTTACATTCAGAATGCTTTAAAAATTCCATTTAAAAGATAATTGTTTATAATAAAATTCTATTCAATCGGTAGACGCATAACGATTGAAAACAATGTTTTTATTTGAGTTTGACCAATTCGTAAAAAAAAAAAAAAAAAACTATTTAAGACATGCGTGTCCGTCAACCTGAAACAATAATTTTTGTCAATTTTATTTTTCAGTCTTTATGATAGTCGATACTTGATCTGTCTCTTACTGTTGCATCCTCGGGCAACGCCGGGCTCTACTGCTAGTAGATAGATAGATAGATAGATATGAATTGAGAGAGAAATGAGCAGGCTTAGATAGATAGATAGATATGAATTGAGAGAGAAATGAGCAGGCTTAGATAGATAGATAGATAGATATGAATTGAGAGAGAAATGAGCAGGCTTAGATAGATAGATAGATAGATAGATATGAATTGAGAGAGAAATGAGCAGGCTTAGATAGATAGATAGATAGATATGAATTGAGAGAGAAATGAGCAGGCTTAGATAGATAGATAGATAGATAGATAGATAGATATGAATTGAGAGAGAAATGAGCAGGCTTAGATAGATAGATAGATAGATAGATATGAATTGAGAGAGAAATGAGCAGGCTTAGATAGATAGATAGATATGAATTGAGAGAGAAATGAGCAGGTTTAGATAGATAGAGAGATAGATAGATATGAATTGAAAGAGGAATGAGCAGGCTTAGATAGATAGATAGATAGATATGAATTGAGAGAGAAATGAGCAGGCTTAGATAGATAGATAGATGGATAGATATGAATTGAGAGAGAAATGAGCAGGCTTAGATAGATAGATAGATGGATAGATATGAATTGAGAGAGAAATGAGCAGGCTTAGATAGATAGATAGATGGATAGATATGAATTGAGATGAGATTAGATATAGATAGATAGATAGAATTGAGAGAGAAAAATGAGCAGGCTTAGATAGATAGATAGATAGATAGATATGAATTGAGAGAGAAATGAGCAGGCTTAGATAGATAGATAGATAGATAGATATGAATTGAGAGAGAAATGAGCAGGCTTAGATAGATAGATAGATAGATATGAATTGAGAGAGAAATGAGCAGGCTTAGATAGATAGATAGATATGAATTGAGAGAGAAATGAGCAGGTTTAGATAGATAGATAGATAGATAGATAGATATGAATTGAGAGAGAAATGAGCAGGCTTAGATAGATAGATAGATAGATAGATAGATACGAATTAAGACAGAGATTAACAGGAGGAGAAAGAAAGAAAGAAAGAAAGAAAGAAAGAAAGAAGCAATTCAT